CCTGTTTCAGTCTGTGACTCCCTCTCTCTCTGACCCTCCCCTGCTTACACTGTCTCTCTCTCTCTCTCTCCTAGAAATAATTAAAAAAAAAAAAAACATAGGGGAAAGAAAAAAGAGAGGGAAGCAAACCATAAGAGAGACTCTTAACTATAAAGAACAAACTGAGGGTTGCCGGAGGTGAAGTAGGTGAGGAGATGGGCTAAACAGGTGATGGAATTTCGGGAGGTCACTTGTTGGGATAAGCACTGAGTGTTATATGTAAATGATGAATCAGTAAACTGTACTCCTGAAACTAATATTATGCTATTATGAAACATAAAAAGATGGCTTCCCTGACTGCTCTAGGGCTGATCTTTCTAGTAGTATCTCTTCCCTCTTCTTTGAAGGGTCAATTGAATATTCAAAATGGCATGCATTTTTAAATGCTGCATAGAGGATTGTTATCCTCTAGTTTGCCAACACATATCTGTTAACCTGCTAACTTTCTGTTGATTTCTGGGATAGGAGAGCAGAAGGTAAAATCTTCCCTATTGAAGAATAAGGAATCCAGAAGCTAGGGAATTATAGTTCTTCTTTCTCAAGGAGGAGGATCTAGGATGTGGTCTTTTGTTCCAGGTCTTCTGCCCGTTGAAAAAAAACAGACAGTGGGGCTGTGTGCCATAAACATTTTGAAAAGTTTCTTTACAGAATTCTTTGAGAATGATTAGAGGGGTTCCATTTTGTAATGGTCAGCTCTGGCATTTTCAATTAGCTAACAAAAGAGAGTGCTTCAAAAACCCTTTTAAAAATTGCATCAATGGGGCGCCTGGGTGGCTTAGTCGGTTGAGGGTCCGACTTTCGCTTTGGGTCATGATCTCACGGTTCATGGGTTCGAGCCCTGCGTCGGGCTCTGTGCTGACTGCCAGCTCAGAGCCTGGAGCCTGTTTCAGAGTCTGTGTCTCCCTCTCTCTCTGACCCTCCCCTGCTCACTCTGTCTCTCTCTCTCTCTCTCTCTCTCCTAGAAATAAATAAAAACATTAAAAATTTTTTTTAAAAATTGCATCAAGAATGGACTCTGGCCCAACATGTAAAGAGCTTGGAAGGTGTCACCCACATCTTCACAACAAGAAAAGAATCTGAATGAACTGAAAGTGAATAACTTAGGTCAGTCAGAGATCACAGGGAAACCACTGACAAACCAGAAGAGACTGGCCGATTCAGAGAATTCCAGCTGACTGGGCGCAAAAGCCACTGCGGGACCCAGCACCTAGCAAGAGGTCTCTAACGATAATTGACCTATTTATTGCTAGAGACCAAATGTTCACTAACTCTGAGTTAAGAAAAACGGAGTGCCTACACGTATGAAAACTCTCATACTGTCATGAATTTTACTTCCCAGAGACCCACTGGGTCCTTAGGATGAAGAGTAGAAAAAAATCCCCTACTTCTTCTGTCAGGAGATTACTAACCATTTTAAAATATTCCAAGCCCTAGGTCATGATCTCGCAGTTTGTGGGTTCGGGCCCCGCGTCCGGCTCTGTGCTGACTGCCAGCTCAGAGCCTGGAGCCTGTTTCAGAGTCTGTGACTCCCTCTCTCTCTGACCCTCCCCTGCTCATGCTGTCTCTCTCTCTCTCTCCTAGAAATAAATAAAAAATATTTTAAAAATAAATAAATAAAATATTCCAAGCCCACTGGTTATTCTTAATAAAGATCTTACACTCAAGGGACATGAATGTACCCTTGTCTGATTTGAGTTTTGCTAGAGCCTAACAACATGGGGGAAGGGAAATTATGTGTAACATAGACTACGATACTTACAGCAATGTATTCCACCCTTGATTTTGGCACATATAAGAAGTATAGATAACCTAGATCATCCTTGTTCTAATACATCAAAATCTTCAGGACAAAGGTCCTGCATCTAAAATTTTAATGAGAACCCATAGTAAGGCAAACACTGACAGACACCTTTAGTCCTAAGATGTGCTGAGCATTGAAAGAAATGCAGCTTCTGTACAGAAGTTTGGGAGGGAGTTGCTGTGTTTTTTAAGGTACAGGTTAAGCCAACATTTCAGAGGCACAAAAGAGTACAGCACTTGAACGAAATAAGTCAGGCAGAGAAGGACAGATACCGTATGTTTGCACGTACAGGTGGATTAGAAGGAACGTAACCGAGGACCGTGGGGGAGAGGAAGGGGAAAAAGAGTTGGGGAGAGGGAGGGAGGCAAACCATGAGAGACTCTTGAATGCTCAGAACAAACTGAGGGCTGATGGGGGTGGGGGAGAGGGAAAGGGGGTTGATGGGCATGGAGGGGGGCACTTGTTGGGGTGAGCACTGAGTGTTATATGGAAACCAACTTGACAATAAACTATTTAAGGAAAAAAAAGAGTATAGCACTTAAATATGCTTTAAATGATTTGTGATTTTACTTCTTTTTAATGTAAAGGCTTAAATAAGCTTTAAATAATTTGTGATTTTACTTCTTTTTAATGTAATGGCTCCAAGGTGAGTGGATAGACTTTGGCTGGATGGGGCCCTGCCATCTGCAACTTAAGTCTTTCATGAACTGAGTTCTATCAGTATATTTTCTACATTTAATATAAAAAGACCAATTTTTTTAATGTTTATTCTTGAGAGAGAGACAGACAAACAGAGCATGTGTGGGGGAGGGTCAGAGAGAGAGGAAGACACAGAATCCAAGGCAGGCTCCAGGCTGTGAGCTTTCAGCATAGACCCCAACATGGGGCTTGAACTCATGAGGCATGACATGACCTGAGCTGAGGTCGGACATTTAACCAACAGAGCCGCCCAGGCGCCCCCAATATTTTAAGCTTGGAGCAATAGAATTGATAAGTTCTCGGCCTGCTGAATTTTATTGAATAAACTTTCATGGGTGTGACAACCCAGAGTTGTAGCTTTACACAGTTACAAGGGTTTGATGGCATTCCTGAACCCCTACAAGAAAATTAGGTCCTAACTGTATTTAAAGTAAAATATTCTTCAGTATTCCTCTTTGATATTTTTATAATGAATAATTCACCTGTGTTAGATTAGATATTGTTAATAACTGAGTATAAATTGTTCAACAGACCAAATAATGTCATCCCTTCTTTTTAAAAGTTTTGGCTTGGGGCACCTGGGTGACTCAGTCAATTGAGTGTCTGATTCTTGATTTTGGTTCAAGTCACTATCTCATGGTTTGTGAGTTTGAGCCCCACATCAGGCTCTGCGCAGACAGCAGAGCCTGTTTGGGATTCTCTCTCTCCTCTCTCTCTCTGCCCCTCCCCTGGCTCGCTCTCGCTCTTTCTCTCGCTCTCTCTCTCTCTCAAAATAAATAAACAAACAAGCATTTAAAAAAAAAGTTTCAGCTTGATTCTTACCATTAGCTTCTGAAATAATATAACTATGATCTTTAGAATAAAATGGTGGCATACCATGTTCATTCAAAAGATTCCTTCATAGAAAATTACTTCCTTAAAAGAATGTAGGGCTTAGAAGTACAATATCATGGTATAAAACAAATATTCTCATAATATTTTAAGAGTTTTCTGTCCTGGACAAGTTAGACTAGCATGCTCTGGCCCGCATACATTTGTACTGGTCATTACCTGACACATCTTTTAAGGTACGGTATAGGGCACAAAATCCATACGGTTTCTTCTGAGACAAAAGGTGAACTGGAGGAATTCAGTCTTCCTTGAGATACTGGCAAATGTGAACTTATGCTATTCTATTTCCAACAGTATGAAGTTTAAACACACACACACACACATTATTCAGTGACCCGGCGGGGGAGTTCATGTACATGTCTTAGTTGATGTTTTACATATTTATATAAAATTCAGGTAACTCACTGTTATTGACCAAAATAGTGGATTTCTTTGCCCTCAGCATATAGGGCTGTGGCACTGGAAGACTGTGAACAGCTCTTACTTCCCATTTTGTTCCTTTCTTCTCCCTTAACATCTCTATTATGTTAAAGATACAGTCTTCTTCCTACCTTACCTCTGATGCAAATTGAATAATATCTTCATTTTTTTCCTTCATGAAACTTTCAACTCACACATCTAACATCCCTTGTACTGGATAATTTTAAAAAGTCTTGTGGCCTTCTGGGATTTATAGGCTGCCTCTCCTGTTCTTCACCACTGCAGATGAACATACCTAAGGGGAGAAGTCTAGTGTAAGAGACATGACGGGCTTCACAATAATTCCAGCTGGAGTCTTCAGTTTCCTTTCTCCTTAAATGTCCTGCATCAGAAGAAGTGATCTGTCAGAGAAGCCGCTGATGGTGTCTATGTCAATAATTCAAAGAGCCACTATAAGAGTAATATTCACTTAAATGGAATAATGGAGCACTTTCTGTGGTTCAGGTCACTATCTCATGGTTTGTGAGAAAAAATCACCGGATTTTATGTTCTTCCATTACACTGTAATTGAACAGCGCTAACTTGAAGTTTCCTTTCTGAGTCCAAGCTTTTTCTATTGCTTACAAACGGCAGGTTAGATTAGGGTTGCAAAGGCAAGCCTGACACCCAACTTTGAATGCAAACTGTCTTAATATTTTATTCCTTACGTGTAAGAGACAGGGATTGTTACTCCCACATTTAAAATAAAGAAGTTGTATAATAGAAAATCTAAATATTGTATCATGAATTCTCAGTGGTAGATGGGAACTGAAATCAAGTCTTTCAGTTGCCACAACTCCACAATCTGACTGTGAAGGAGCTTAGTTAATTAGGAATTCAATTGCTGATTAAATCTTACCTTACTTCAAAGCCTCCAATGTTACCCACTAACCTTATTTATATAAATTAAGGCATTGCCCCATGTGGTCTCAATTTCATTCCTGTGAATCTTCTTTACTTTTCTGCCATGTTTATTCAGATCAAACTGACATATAACATTGTGTAAGTTTAAGGTGTATAACGTGATGATTGGATTCAAATATATATTGAGAAATGATTAACACAGGAAGTCAGACTCTCCGATGCTTACTATACACATCCTATCCTTCAGGCTAGAGTCCAAACCTGGCTACGCCATTATACCTCTGGGACTTTTTCAAAGATACAATTACCCAGGCTTTTGGTACAAACAGTTGATTCACACTCTTGGCAGTGCAACCAGTGATAACAGGTCTCCAACTGATATCAATTCCCGGCTGGGAATTTGTACTATAGTTTTACAAGATGCTTCTACTGGGAGACACCAGTTAGAGAATGCAGGAAAACTCTCTTGATCATTTCTTACAACTGTTTTGACTCTATAAATTGGTCAAAATAAAAAGTTTAAATTTAAACTTTAAAGAGAGTTTACATTTAAAACAAATCTCCAATTGAGTCTATGTGCTCTCGTGTTGCAAAATACTAAGAGTCTAGGCATGTATCAAATCATGTTTCACCAAACTTCTCGTCTTTGCTCGCTTTGATATCTTGTCCTTTCCAACTCAATAGCTTGGAAAGCTTACATGTGTTTCCCTATCTTAGAATCTGTAATTATCCTTATTACCTTTTTCCATCCTCATACTTGTGCACTCATCAAGATCAAATTGTCACAACCCCCTTGCTGACGGAACAACGGGGACTTCTTTATGACACAGAACACAGAATACTTCAAGGGCTTACCCGCTAAGGATCATCTGTTTTACCCCATCCGGCTCCTCACCACTAGGCTTATAAGGGAGACTCCTTCGCTGGGTGGCAGTGGTTGAGAAAGAAAGATAAGCAAAATAGACACAGAGCCTGGAGCTGTGGACCTTACTCTCTCCGCTGCCTTCTCTGCTTCTGGTCAGTGAGGTAGGGCATGTACAAATGTAGCCGTGGTCCAGAGCCTTGCTGTGAGGACTGTTCCAAGTCACTCTTTCCTGAAGTAACTATTTCCACGTTCTGTGGAAAAACAGACTCCAGAGTACCTTTACCCTTAAATGGCAGCCAGGCTTCTTGTGGGCTGTGCCAAAGCTTCTGGGAATAAGCAGCTCCTTCTTGAATGTGCTAAGAGGACTTGGGATTGCTCTCCTGTCTCTAGGAGGCCTTTTGTTCACATAACGTCCTACTGAATAGGAGAGGTGGACAAAGGAAAATGAGAATACATGGTCTACCTTAAATTAGGACTCTAAGAATTAATTAATTAGGAATCCAGGGGGTGGGAGGGGTTTCTGGCCCAGTCGGAAACTCATGTCTGAAAATAGGAAATGTGTCCCTGTGCTGTGTGTTATAAATGTGCCAAAGTTTCCTTCCACAGATTCGATAAAATGTCTCTCTTCGCATTGTGGATCAAAGCTGTTTTCGTCATTGCCTTGGCATTTCCTCTTTATTCTGGTGAGTAACTTTTCTAGTTCGAGGTAAAATATTTCCTGTCTTTGAAAAATGCAGGAAACAATTGCTGTAATCTAGGGATGAAGGCGCTTTTTGGAAACCTCTAAACTGAGGAAGTGACAAAAGGCACATTACAAATGTCTTTTAAAAATTGCGTCAGTGCGTTGCTTTTTCTCACTTCCTGTTTTTGGACAAGTGGAGAGAGAGTAATGGGTTGGTTAGAATGGGCAGCAGACGTTCGCTCTTCATTCATCTATGACTAAAGAACATGACCCAAATCCTTTTCTTTTTTTCCTCTTTGAATGTCAAATCCCATGGTTATTAAATACAAACCATGAGGAGGAATGATCTCTTCAGGGTCTGCTGTTGGTTAATAATTCTGACTTCTTGATTGCTCACTGAGTTTCTGAAGATAGAGACATGTTGACTTCTCTGGCAGAAGTTATCTTTCTTAAAGCTCAAGGTAGACCATGAATTTCAGAAGAAGGCACCTGTGATCTATTAGATAGATGCACACATTTAGGTCAGTGTACTGATTAGTTAAGCAGTAATTGATTTCTTCATATTTAAGTGACATTCTCTAAGGCATAGTCTTCTCAGCCTTGGATGTGTCATCTACAAAAATCAGGAGAAAAACAGTCCTATCTTCAAAGAAGCGTGTCTGGGATTATTAAAAATCATATATCAAATTATTTTTCAAAGAGTGAGAATAATTGGGGATTTCAAACTGTTTCCTAATGTGATATTGTTCAGTGGATTTTTTATTTTGCTAATTACACAAAAGTCTGGCCTCATTACTTGCTGGGGGTTGAGCAGCAATTCTCATAGATGTCGACTGTTAAGAGTTGAGCTCTGAAAGACTTATTCTTCCTCTTCGCACCCGTCCCACCTCCTCCACATCTTCCTCTTCCTCCTTCTCCTTCTTCTTCTTTCCATGTTCTCCTTCTCCTCCCCCTCCACCTCCTCGTCTTCCTCATTTTTAATGTTTTCATCCATTTGTTGGTTGCAGAAACTACTTTTGTACCTATGCCAGGAGACAGGCCTATGGTAAGTCAAATATGATGGAAGTTGAAAAAATAAAATACATAATTAGCTTATTTGATTATAAATTTTAATAGCAAAACTCATCAAACAAATGTACAAGGAGATCTTTCAAAAAGTAAAAACAAAAGCATCATTATTGCACTAAAGTCAAGAAATAGAAACAGCAGCCACATAAAACCATTACCTAGACAACATAAAAATGTACATATCCCATTACACAAAAATTCAGTTAATGGGCACAAATATGTCATACAAGCATCTGCGAGGGGTCCAGTGGTATTTACAGTAGAAGTGTTCATTCTAGCAAAACAAAGGGAAAAATGAACCAACCAAAGTGTATACTTTAAAGGTGGATCAAATACTTATATACATACATAGTAGAATATCACACAGAGGTCAAAAAGTAAACTATAGATGTAAGTAAATGAATAAACAGTCACAGAGAAATATAAGAAGCAGATGATATAAGCGCACACACACATTGTTTATTTGTGTAAATTACCAATACTGTCAATACCTAACAAATTGCGTTTATATCTATATGTCTATACACATATACACAAACACACACAGACACACACACATACATAGTGAAATTATCAAGAAAGACAGGGGAATGATAAATAGAAAAATTCAGTTTCATGATTTCTTCTAGAGTTTGGAAGGAGAAAGATGTGAAGGGAAATGAGGATGGTGGTCAGCATTGGAATATCACATTCAGCCAGTTCTATGACCTTTTAAAAAAGTTGGCATGTTTGTAAAGATATTTTAATATCTTATTTTTTAAGTGGCATAGGTGTTCGTTCTTATAGGTGTTAGTGGTATAGATGTTTGTTTTTAAAACTACATATAGACTATAATATTTAAAATTTGATGCATAGCATTTCTCTTTCTATGTTTATTTATTTATTTTGAGGGAGAGAGAGGGTACATATGCAAGCAGGGGAGAGTCAGAGAGAGAGGGAAAGAGAGGATCCTAAGCAGCCTCCACGCTTGTTCCCACCAACCACACGGGTGAGATGATGATCATGACCTGAGCTGAAATCAAGAGTCAGACATATAAGCAACTGAGCCATCCAGGCGTCCTGATGTGTAGCATTTCATAGGAAGATTAAAGAAAATTTTAGAGTTTCTCTCCCTGATACATTTTGTTGTATCTCTATGTTTAACAGCCAGACTGTAGACCATATATAGATAGGCATGACTATTGCACCAGAGAACTGGATCCAATCTGTGCGACCGATGGAAGAACGTATGGCAATGAATGCAATTTCTGCACAGAAAAGAAGTAAGTACACAACAGTAAATATTTGCTCTTCAAAAGTATGAAGAAACCATCACAAAGTGATGGCAAAGTCCATATTGCCAATAACCTAGGCACAACATATGTAGACAGTAACTGTAAGACGCCTGTAAAAAATTAGGGGCCACACTTGCACCTTTCCCTGAAGTTCTGGTTTCTGAAAGTATTTTGTATTTGAGCTCTTACTATAATTTTGCTTGATGCTGTGCATATATCAATATGTATATAGCAATTAATTGCAAATTACTAATGACAGACTAGCAACCACTATGGTGTAATTCCAAAGCCCAGATGCAGAACACTAGGTCTCTGAGGTGGCCGTGATCCTGACCCTTGCAGACCTCTATCTGCAGGGAGCATAGTCATGCAGGAAACTGAACTGGCTTTTGCAGTTTGAAATCCATCAAAATGGGCCCACTCACGCTAGAAAGGAGCTCCTCTGATGAGCTTCAGGATAGCCCCCAAATATCTTCCTTGGAGGGCAGGGCATTCCAGAACATTCCCATCAAATCTCCCTTCCCCTCCCCCTCACGATGATGGAGTTTGCCGTCTAACTGTTTGGCCAGCCTTCCCACCTTCCCCCTCATTTTCTCTCACAAGCGCTTCCTTTCACACATATTTGCACATTTAAGCCCCCAAATTAGCCTCTGTTTCCAGAGAACTATGAAGACAATCTCCATTATCTCCTCTCTCCAATCTGGATGCATCCCCAAAGACTGAGTCAGAACTGACCATGTAGGAAGAGTCAAGCAGCCAGACAGGAGAAGAGGACATGTGCCAGACCCTAGGAGCCAAGCCCAGCTGCTTCTGGAAGTGGTGCGAGGCCTCCTGATCGTGTTCCGTGGTCAAATCCTTCCTGTTAAGAAGTGCTTTGTTGTATCACCATATTTCACATACAAACTGAATTCTGCATGCATATCATCTATGTTTCTCCACCATAGACATGGAGCCAATTTGTGCAACCGATGGTCACATGTATAGTAATGAATGTATTGTCTTCAGTGATGCTACCCAGGGAATTTAAAAGGTCTCTCTTAAATAAAGTTTTTGTTTTAGAGTAACTTTAGTGTTTCAGAAAAATTTAAGAGATAGTATCAATTTTCTATATCTCTTATACGGTCTCTACTAAGGTTAATACCTTATAGAACCCTGGCACACTTCTCAAAAAATTAACATGGAAATTAACACTGTAATATCACTAGTAACTAACCTACAGGATTTATTTGCATTTCACAAGCGTTTCCATTAATATCCTTCTTAAACATTTTTAAAATGTAGCACATTTTAATTCTTTCCTACAACTTTTTAATTTCCTTTTTTTTTTTTTTTTTTATGTCTCTTGCCCTCTTTACAGGAGAAGGAGTGCCGAATTTGGTTTCGTGCATTTTGGTAACTGTTGAATACTGACCGAACCATGGCTGTCGTTGTCATCACGTTTTGTGGGACATTTCACAGGCAGTGAGAATATTCTCAGTCCAAGCCTTCAATTCATAGATGACCAGGGGCATCCTATGAACAGAAGAGGAAATACAGGACATTTAAATTTTTTTTCCAATTCCAAGTTCCTGTCATTTCAGA